ATTATTAAAGCATTACATTATAATTATAACTTTCCAATGTGTTGTTATCTATAATGATAAATTAATTGATTGAAATCTAGAATAATATATAAAATACTATGAATCTATAATTATGTCTCTTATCTATTAGATGTTTATTGAAGCACGATCATACAGATACTAGGTATCAATGAAAATGGTTGTTGTCTGGTAGTCAACGACTGATTAAATGAAGAGAAATGATCAAGTAAAATTGTTGATGCTGAGCAATATCCATTTGTTATGCTGTCAAGTTCATTGGACCAATCCACCTTCAGATCAACTGCAATCTGATAAGTAGAGTCTAGGGTGCATGTAAAGCTCTGAGAAATATATAACCTAATTACTGACACCTAAAATCTAAGGGAAGTGTTTGAAAAAGTATAAAGGTCTTTTTTTCTCAAACACTATATGATCAAACTTGATGGAAATTTACGAATCTTGAATAGAATGAAATAACTATTAATACTCAAAACAAAGTTTGATTTATCTCAATCTCAAGATGGATCTATAACTTTAAATTTCATGTAAAATACAGTTAAAATATCGATATTAAATATCAAATCTGAAGCTTCTGTCAAATGTTCTTTAATCAGATAAGATAGATCAAAGAATTTTGAATAGGATGTTTTTTTTTAGATATTTTGCTTTCTTAGAATGATTGACATTTAGTTTTTTTCGCTTTATACAATTCTCATTTAATATGGCTCAAGGCCACTACAGTTATCATTCACTTAATCTGTGGTTAAAAAGTAAATCAGTAAGTTCAAGCATGCCTTGAGGAAATCGTTTACCATAAATAGTTTAAGACAAGGTGATAGACTTAAACAATTAGAAATATTTATGATGATTTCAACTATTCAACTTTTCACCATGTAAAGGTCAGTAAGATAACAAATTTAACTTTTCTTTTATCATCAACATGTTTTATCATTGCTTACAGCCAAACATTCAGACAGTATGTCTTTGATACTCGCTTTCAATTCAATACTTTTTATATCAAATGTTTTACAGGTAATTTGAAAGATAATTTTTAGATTTTTTAAGGTCACAAAGCTTGTTTCAACTTGTCTTGAATCATAAACCATACCACTACAGAAACACAAACCTTATTTGAAAAGATTGAAGTCTGATATCACAATTCCTATCAATAAAAACTATTACATGACACCAAGCCTGACCAGCTTTAACAATATCACCAATCTAAAACTGATTTGTTCTTGACAAGATTTATCTGAAAGGAAAAGTTTGCTTATTGTCAATTCATTATTTAGTGTAAAGTTAAAGGTTTTAAAGTTGGATCGTTTGATTAAGGGCACATTTTTGCCCAATAAGCAGACGTCTCTCTGTGAGGGCATCAAGATATCTTATCATATATTTAGGTCTTAGAAATATAAATTTTGTTAAGAATATTCAGAATTACATTGGAGTAAAAACTCATGCATTTTACACTAAGACTATTCCTTATTTCTTCTGACCACTGAAATTTGTATAATGTTTTCCTCATTTATCAGCATGGTACATTGCCCAGATTTAAAAAATATTACTAACATTCAATATGTAATAATATGCTATTATGCTGGTGTTCACATATCTAGATAAAATAATTCTTTGATTGTGAGGTTAAAACAGGTTACATTAAAATTCCCCTTAGTTCTATAATATAGCCAAATATAACTTCCTATAGGTCTATGAATAAACCACTGTGTCTACGAGTAACACGATTACTGAGGAAATACTTAAGTCATATAATATACAAATAAAATATTGACATAGAGGATAATCAAAGAAAATGACTGTCATATATGAATATTTCATATACATTTGTGAATTCATTTACTAGAAGACATGATATCAGGAATATAACATTGACCCTAACTGTCACACTAATATGTCATGTAATGGTGAATCTAAATGCATGTCATGGTGAATTTAAATGCATCTCATGGTGAATTTAAATGCATGTCATGGTGAATCTAAATGCATCTCATGGTGAATTTAAATGCATGTCATGGTGAATCTAAATGCATGTCATGGTGAATCTAAATGCATGTCATGGTGAAATGGTGAATCTAAATGCATGTCATGGTGAATCTAAATGCATGTCATGGTGAATTTAAATGCATGGCATGGTGAATCTAATTGCATGCATTGGTGAATCTAAATGCATGTCATGGTGAATCTAAATGCATGTCATGGTGAAATGGTGAATCTAAATGCATGTCATGGTGAATCTAAATGCATGTCATGGTGAATTTAAATGCATGGCATGGTGAATCTAATTGCATGCATTGGTGAATCTAAATGCATGGTATGGTATATATAAATTCATGTTACAGTGCATTTAAACACATGCCATGGTAGATCTCAATATTATAGTTCATTTGAATTGATGTCATGGTGCATCTGAATTCCTTTTGTTGTAATTCACTTACAATGAAAAATATATCAAACTACTTTTCAATGATATGAAAGATAAATATACTATGTTTTTCTTAAGAATGTTTTGAACTTTACATAATTAATGAAGAACAATCATGTTTTTTTTATTGTTCCACTATTTTTTCATCACTTCCTTTCTAATTTTGTATAATTATACTAATTTCAACAGAATTAATTTACTTTATGAAAGTATTAGATTGCATATCACAACAGGAAGTACAATATTAAGTTTTTAGTACTTCCTTTAAAAATATAATATAAATATTCTTTCTTACTTCAGAAAATCAAGGAAATTTTGGTTATTCCCTTATTAGGACCTACATAGAAAAATTTACTTCCCTGAAAAATATTGGTTTGAAATGAAATTAATCAGATAAGCTAATTAATTGACCAGATTAGTGTTTATTAGAAAGATTAAACAGTTAAATAAAACATTACCTAACAGTCAAAGACAGTACAGTTCTGATTTATAGTCATAGTTATTACTGATATTCATTAATAATTGCTATCTAAGATTTCAGTATATAAAACCAAAACTTAGATAACATAGGACTAGTTATAAAAAACACAAACACAAACATTAACAATTGACCTAAAACATAATTTCAAACAGTAAATATAAAGCATTATCACTTACTGCAATTTTAGTTAAAGTCATCATGATCTGGTATATTCAAGCTTAATGAAGTTGAAATAGTATTAGTTTTAATACTTCCTCAGATTATATATAATTTGAACCTGTCATCTATCAATATCAACCCTTCCTCATCATATATATATATATTATACGTACAAATCACTTTATAACACTTCTTATAAATATGTCTCACATTATACAGGCTGGTACAGACTAACTAAGATTTTATTGGGCTAAATTTCCCTGTGAAATTAATTCAGTGACTTTAAAATGGACAACTTACCAATTCTTTAAACACATGATTATCAAATTCTCTCGGGCTGCTGGCTTCTAGGTTTTAAAATTTCATATGGGACTCTCAGACTTGCAGCTAATGGCTTCACAGCTTCAGTGCTTTGCAGCAACAGCTTAAGCCTGCCCCACCTGGATACAAAAGTTGGAGTTGGAGCTGTAAGGTTTACTTGTTTTGCCCAGTTTCAGTTTCAGCCAGTTATGATTGCATCAATAAATTGGACTTCTACCTTCTTTAAATCATTAGTAATAAAAAACCAGGAATTATGCAGAGAAAAATATTTGTTCATGACAGAAGTGTTCATTTTATCTAGGAAATATTTTTCAGTTCAGCTCTAGTGTTATAGAATCCAATCAATGACATGGGGTTAACTGAGCTGAGTATCTGAAAATATTTACTCAAACTGAATTCATGTTGGATCATTTTTGGCAGGTCTATGATGAATTTGGAAATGTACCCAGAACCAAAATTATGAAATGTTTTAGTTTTTGAGTTACACTGTCAGGTTGACATTTACATAATCTTCTTCAGATTGATAATGATTTTGTCGAAAGAAAATTCAAAAGAAAAACCCAAAATAAACTGTACAAACCTGGATTTATCTCCCAACAAAAATCATTTGACCAAGACCACTCAACCTCAGATAAATTAACATACAATTATATCCAAATATGGCAGTTAAAGTAGTGACCTTATACGACTTTAAAAACATTTAAATCTCCCATAAACAAAGAAAACATTTTTCATTCTGTTGATATCTTCACGTTTTTAACCTAATCATTGACACTTTGTTGAGTTGTTGTCTATTCAACATGTTTTAAATACACTACATGATGATTCTATGTTTATATTGTTATTTGTTTCCATTCACAATAGACTTAAAAATGTGTTGAAATAAAACAATAAACATGGAGGTAAATAAAGTGGTTTAAAACTAATATGAAAGATTAAAGTATTTCTCAAAGTTAATTCATAAAGATTAATATTAATATTCCAATCAATGCTTAAAACTTCAACAATAATATCCAGCCCTTTTCCATGAATCTTCATTCATAAGGTCTCCTTCATGAAAAACAAAAAGTTTTTAATTATTTATGTCTCACTTTCTTAAATGCTATGTATTCAATGATTTAGAAATATTTCGAGATACTTGATATATAAATAAACTATGAATATCAACCAGACAAAAATTCAAGCTATAAAATTCATAACCTGACACAGATTCAAAATTGTAAAATATTGCTAAGACATTATTGAACATTTTCAAATTTAACATATTTAAGACTAAACTTGATTGACTAAGCTTATAGTAAAATAATCCATATAGACAATTGTAAGAAGTTCAGTGGCAAAATTTCTTCCACTACACACCATTATGCAATCTCTGTCTCTGATTAAAAAAAAACCCAGACGCAATGCAAATTCATTTCATTTCTGACATACTGCAAAATTTCATGTCAATCATGTATACATTTTTTTTTAAAGTAAAAAAACTAAGTGGGTTTTTAACTTGTTACTTTTTATGTAAACACAGTAAAGATGTGGAGTAATTATTTAGAGCAGGTATAGAGAGATATATACATAATATAAACATACAGGTTAATTCAAATATTAACATTCTACCTTCACCATACCTTTCTTATAAATAAATATCCCCTAAAATAAACAGTCCAATATTTGATAGATATATACCATTTCTTTATACATTAAACACATCTATCTTGCACAGAATAACGTCAAGACATTTCAATAAGTATATAGGTAAATGGAATCAACTTTTCCCATAGTAGAACCTATTACTCCTTACTTGTCCTACCATGTTACCATGTCCTAAAACCTATAACACAAAATACAACAAAGAAATTATTGTACTTATATATTATCTATCCTACCTTACACAATTCAAATTGAACTGTGAATAAGCACACAATTAAATACTTCACACAACATATGTCTAAATTCACTGTTAGTTTTCATTTAGGGTGTGTTCCAAGATTCTCAAGATGTTAAAAGAGATAAATTATATAAGTTTGAAATCTAACTTTACAAAATTGCACATAATTAATTTTAAAATTTTGTTGTAAAATCAAAAATTGTTTTTTCTGAAGTCAGAAATGTATTGTTTGATTCCTTCATTCAAAAAATTTTTAGGGTTTTATCTTAATATGTTGAATTTTGTTTAAAATGCAGAACTCTAACATGATGTTTAAATCCTATTAGTTCAAGGACTATAAGATAATAATTATAAAGCTATACTTCTGATAAAGTTATCTCATTTTTTATTTTATCAAACATGCTATGAGTGTCTTAAATTAGTATGCAGATGGTAGATCACAATTAATGGGTTAAATGATGCGACATGTTCCGGCCAAAATGGGGAGGGGTAAATGTTAAATCCCTTTTGAAAGCATGAAAATCTGAATTAGGTTATTAGAATAATTGGCAATGTCTCCACTGAATCAATTATGTACTTTCTTTTTATAAATAAGGATAAATAAAGAATCATACCTGATTTGTAACTTAACATATCAAATTCTTTACATAGTTTCTTTCTATATAGATTCAATGAAGTAAAAACTCTACTATTGACACACATCCCTTTATGTATTCATCACTTCAAGCTTCACACTCTAATGAAATTAGATCAATTTAGAAAATTTTTTACACATTCCATGACAAATATGGGTAAAAAAATTAACATGTCAATTAAGGAAACAAGTCCAAAAAAGTCAACTTGAAAATTAATCACAATTATGAAATTCTGCAGTTCTAGAATGCTTCTGAACAGAATTTTCAAAAGGTTATTTTCATATTAAGATAAACTTGATATATTAAATGTATCCAACAACAATGTCAACAATAGGAAACCATACCAGCATGCCATTTTTGTTGTTACTTCAAAGGATAGTGATATTTCTACATTCCTATTTACCAACTAGTAGGAAACAGTGAAGATTTACTTCCTGTTAATGAAGTCAAAGTACCCTGTAGGTACCAAATTGTTTACATGACTTACTGTAGTAGCTAAACTTGTGGCACCAAGATTCAAGCTGCCTGAAAGGGAATCATCCAACTTTTTTCAAGCAATATATTAATGTGCATTTCATCAAAGATTGGCAAGTTCGAGTTTCTGTAAAGCAAGAATGTGCCCAGTGCCCTCTCTCACCATCAAACGATTCAATGTGAAATTTCTGCTAGCACATTGCATTGTTACAGTGCTTTATCTCAGCCATTTTCAGAATTTAGCATTGAATGCGAATGAGAGTCAGAATTATCATCACTAACTTGAAAATTCGAGAAAATAATACACTTAAGTGAAAAATCCAAGAATTCATTATCAAGGCAGATTCAGCTTTTACAGTAACTGCTTGAGTTGCCAAATGTAATGAAAGATTCAATCAAAGAATTAATTAGATAAATTAAAAATTATAGATATAATGTTCACTTTATCCAAATGGACATGCAAATCAGAAATCTTTAAAATTTTAAATGTTATTTGTTTTACAGGGAAAAATAAAAGAAGATAAATCAATTTTCATATAAAACTATCAAATTGTGTAAAAGAGTTAACTGTGGTGGTAAATTTGCATAATAATATTTATAATACACCCAGTGTGTCAACATATACCATTCTACCTAGAAAATAGTTAATTCTAAAATTGTCATACATACATCTATCCTCTCATCTAGTTCAACTTTGTCTACAGTTTCGACGAAAGATGTTTTTTTGACCGAATGATGAATCTGATTGATGCAGGATTACATTCATTAAAAGTAGAGCTTCTATGCGTGTATCAGGTGATAAAAATATCAAATATAAACAATTTGTGAGGGTAGTCATTTTGTTTCTGTTGTAAACCAATTGTTAAAAACTTGTAGATCTAGAAGACTTCTAGTAGAAGTTCTATGGAAAGTCCTAGACTATAACCTCATCTTAGACAATGGAAGTCCCTAAAACAAGATCTACCCTTCAACAACGAGTAAACATCACATTCTTTGGCTGACAGGAACTTCGACAGATTCAGTTTGAACTTACCTTACGTCTGTAGTGGACCTGAATAGTGGTAATATATCCAGAGGACATTATTTACTTAATAAATAATATGCAGAATAACTTAAACTGCAAATAAAACCTTCTGTCAATTATGTTATACCATATCTGATGCTTTAATACCGAGAACGCTTTCAGACATACTTTGTGTCCGATAGAGTTCAGTTCAGTTGAATTTAATTCATTCCAACATCAAAACAGCTAATTTAATTTCACTTCTTAAGATTTATAAGATTTACTGTTAAGTCAAGAAAATGCTGAAGATATTTACAAACATTTAAATCCAGGCTCACAATTTGATTAACGTCAGTATTAGCATCTTTACATAAGATTTAAACAGAAGTGACTAACTTTCCTGATGTCTCAAACAATATTATATCCTAATGTAGTCATGACAAAATCTACTGGAAATTATAACATGTACAAGAGAATCGTAGCCTATATTGACACAATTGGTGTATTCAACACTACAGAAAAAATATTGTTCACAATCATACAAAACTCTAAATGTAAACAACCTCAAGTAAGTTTGAATAGAAATACTTTTTATGGAATTTTACATAAATAACTGGAACTTAAAATAGCTTAAAAGACAGTTTCAGGAGGAAGAGATATTCATGTATCAGATAATTAGGTAGAAATATGTACTACATTGTAATGAAGGACAGTGATATTGATTATTGTAAGATTGAATATATTCTAGCATTTTTAAGAACTTCAGACAAGTTTATCCCAATACAAAAGGGGGATACCACTAACTATCATATCTTAAAAGTGCATAGTAGGTCTCGGAATGAAGAGACTTTGTCATTGCATATTATTGTTCTTATATGCTTGTTGAAATGAAAGTAAATTTTTGCACTGTATTTAGCCAATGCAGGATGGGCAATGGCATGTAATAATGTGCACTAAAGGAAATTTGGTCAAGCCAGCTCTGCATTAGCCTACTGTTTTTCACTTTCAATAAAGATCAAAGTACAGTCTGTAGCACACAGACACTCATTTTTATTAGTCCTCTCTGAACAATTAGATGCTTTTTCAATGTCAGTCCTTCCAATCTGCATCACTTAAATTTTTTTTCAATCTCAAAGGGACAGGTGCACCATTCTTTTTGACCAATCATACTTTAGTCTCAGAAACAGGAATTTTTTTTAACCCCCAAAATGGCGCACCTGTCCCTTTAAAGCTGTCTGAAACCCTCAAAATAAAAAGGTTTATGAAAAGGATTACTGACATTTTCCCTCTTAAAATGTAAGCTATGAAGTCTGTACTTTAAATAAGCGATATCAAAATTGTTTTAAACTTTGAATGAATTTGTTTCAAATCACACTTTTACCAACTACAGTAGTTATGTATGTAAACTGAAAACAACCCTACATTCTGATATTTATGAAGTAACATATAACAACTACCTTTCTCAAACATGCAAATAAACTTTCAAATGTCACTCATGTAATGGAAATGCTCTAAATCATGTAGTTCATATCAACTTAGGTAACTTTTACTTGATTTTCTGTGTTACTTACACAAAAACCTTATTTTTTATCAAGACAAAGATAAACATTATACTTGCTACATAGAATCACAGATAGAAATATATATCGGTACTGGTAAGAGGAAGTAATTTGTTGTTACCGGTACTAGTACGTGTAGTTAATAATTCCAATGTTTTCAAAAAGAAAATTGGTTCGAAAATCTGTAAAAATTGCGATATTTATTGAACAAAGTAAAGTGGTTAATATTTTCAGGAGAAAAACAAAATGTCTGGTTAACCAAACAATTGATTTAGACTATGAGTTTGAATTATTTTACAACACGTTTGTACTTAGTTGTCAACTACCAACATAAACCTTATGTTTACACCACTAATGTTGAAGAGGGATTTTCGGCAGTCCTGTTATATTTGAACTCACCTGCCTTCAAAATCTTATAGCCATTGACAACAAATCAATTTATCTACTTTAATAACTTACAGGAAGTTTGTTACAAAAAGATCATCCATCCAAGATTATTCAAAAATAAGGTTTTAGCTTAATATTAGAGTAATACTGTCCGACCCAAAACAAGATTGCTTCACCATTTTCTTAATTGTAAGACAAAAATAAACAAAAAAAGTTATATGTATGTGCCCTTTTATAAATAAAACGGATATGGTAAAATATTAATTTCAATTTGGCACCAGTTTGCTCTTTCATCTCTTCTAGTAGTTAAGACAGCATTGGCTGATGCAGAAATCACACAAATGAAATCATTCCATTTAGTATTCAAATTAACAATTGTTCCACTGAGAAATATGATTACTTCATTTCACTTCAGGTTTGTCATTTCCTTTTTTACAAGATTTATATACCACCAATAGCCAAACTTTTCATTCCACATTAAACTATTCTTTAACACAAAGTATCAAAGCTGAATTCAAGTCTACAATATTGCCCAATTCAACATTCCCACAATTACTGAAGGCACATATTTATCAATCAAAAAATAAAACATACCAATTAGATCTAAATTTTCTCAATAATTAGATTTTGTATCAAACAAATTAACCACAACAGCTAATATTTCCAAACCCTCACCAAGTAAGAAGAGGAAAGTTTTTGTTTTAACAGTGTCTAAACATTTTCTTAATCATGTTTAAAGAGGCTAGATTAAAGATCAACAAGGAAACAGAGAGAGTAAAAACCAGTTTCAAGTACAGCCACTTTATTTTGCAAGTAAACAATTCTGGCTTTTTAAAACTGAATCTAACTATTAATTGCACACTGTGCCACACACATTTAATAACTCAATGAAGTTTTATTTCTATACAAAAATTGAATTTTTTCATGTCCATAGAACTGTCAATTGATTTCACAGTGATAATAATTGTGAAATATGAGACAAAAAGCAAAAATTGAATTAGGTTTAAGATTTACAATTTCTTTCCTCTATTTATTATATAATACAATGCATTTAGGAACAAAATTTTAATATCATATCTCTGGGGTATTTAATTCAATATTCTGCTCAAAGCTATTGTTTATACATAAATACATCCTTATTATCAAATATCATATTATTGGCAGTCTTTACCACAACAGTGAACAAATTACAGGCATTACAAGTGATCAAAGTCATGTTTAGAATTATTTATGTCAAAACAAACTTACTATGTAATTTTCTGGTATATCAGAACCATCTAATTTCTTCACATACTGAAATATAACATGAAAATGTAGATCATTATAGCAAATATATATTTTGATTCAACAAAGAATTAAATCATTTGTGACTAAAGATTTACTTTAAATCTATTTTATTTATTGTACAAAAAAAAGGTTATTAGATGTTAGTGTGCATTTTTAGGGCCTGTGATACAAGCAAACTAATGAATTTCGGATTGAAATAAAATTGCACTAAAAAAAAATATGCTGATGACAAGGTTGTATCAAGAAAATGCCTGAGAGGGAGGCTAAAAATGACAGGTATCTCTCTACCAAAAGGACTGTAGGATCACAGAGGGCTTAATTTCACTTCAAAATAAGACCTTTCAAAAGGCCTGAGGGAAGGACATGGTCCATTGGCCTTATTATGCCAAGTGTGATATCTAGTAAGCTTAAGCTTATAAAATCACAGCTAATTACATCGCAGTGCATGTGCATCGTCAAGCATGTCAAATTATTCGGCAACTAGTCTTAAAAGATACTTCATGTCCAGGTACACAAACATAAGATTACAATTTTCGCTGTATGATCAATTGGTTTCTGAAATGCCAATAATCGTCATATGTTAAATTAAAATATCAACTGCAAGTCATACCGGTACTGAAAGTTTATAAGAAAGATACTATGACCTTCATAATTGTGTTCTACAGATTTTTTCCAGCAACATGGAATCTTCTAATTTGTTAACTTTGTACATATTATACAGTCAAGTAACCTAATTTCGTGGAAACCTATTTTTCGTGGATTTCCGGAAAGGATTACTAATTTACATGTGCGACCTCGTGTGACCTCCGCATTTGCTTGTTTTGATAAACATGGGTTTTCTGTACAATATCAGCTAGTAGAAGCGGTAATTGGAATTCCAAGTGTCGTCTGCTAGAATGTAGTCCTACAAATGAAGTCACGTGAACAACTAGCGGATTCCGTGTCAGCAGAAAATTTCTATGGAACACAAACTGGACTATATTCTTATGTTGTTTCAGTGACTTTTAGCAATATATCATGTTACGTATCTTATTTTGTCAGTCACTATTTTTTTTTTAAATCATGGTTCTTTGAAGGAATTGTCACTAGTTATAATGAATTGATATTAAAGATAATTAGTTAATTATAGTTAATTATACCACCCGGTATCCATACAACGTGTTTTTCTAGACACGAAAATAGGTGACGCATTCTGCCGCCGTTGCCGAGTTGGTTACTCATGAAATATGGGTCAAAGTGAAGAATTCATAAAGAAAATCGAAATAAACCAATTTTAATTTTTTTGTAGAATATCTGAGGAAACATCTAAGACATAAAAAAAAAAAATTCGTTTCTTTAACTTTGACGAAATTCGGTGTTGAAACCTTATATCCACGTAAATAGGTTACACCACTGTAGATGTATGTGAATTTACACATTTGAGTTCCATAAATTTATGTAGTGTTAAGTCTGAAGGCCCTAGTTTGCGTTGATATATTTCATACAGAAATATTTGTGGAAAAAACAGTAATGATATATGTAATGGCATTGCAACATCTAAGCCTTATTTGAATATTTGTTAAAATGATAGGTGGTTAGGGAGTCGATGGACTACCTAACCTGTTACTATTAAAGCAGCTTAAGCCTACCTTCATATATTTGGCTGGAACATAGCCTGTGGTACTATCCTTTAGAGCTTTTGCACCCCACCATTGAGTTAATGTTCCACTGTGAAATATTTCAAACTGGTCTCCTTTGCAAAATTCTAAAACATTATTGTAACTGCCTGGAGATTTTTGGTAGGGGTTTTCAGTAGGGCGAACAAAATCAGCAATCGCTTCATAGACTTCCATTTCAACTTCTACTGTTCTAGCCTAAAGCTAGTCAACAAGACTGTCAGTGTCGATACCACGATAATGATAGGTAGTAACAATCTTACAGCATCTTTACCAGACAATACAATTAGCAGCAATCAACCCTTTCATTTGTTTTACAGATTATCTTTAAATAATCACAGTAGGCTTGCATTGGTTGTGAAAATGTAACGACAAAACAGAATCACAATGTTGATTTGTTGACACAATCTACATCCGACTCGCGTCAACGCTAACAATGATATCATCGAAGGAGTTGCCTCCCTTGATCATACGGCAACAGACCATTGTTAAGTCTTTAATATTTTTAGTTCTATACTAAATGAAAGAATTTTGGCTTTTAAAGTTATTTTGTTGCATGGTTGATTTTTAAAAAGTATTCAACACTATAAACAGACATGATCTTATTGAAAAACTTAAGGTTTGTGCACTGATCAAAAATATGTACATCAATACTGATTATCTGAACCATTTGCATCCACATTAGGTGATAAACAGTGTGATAACTCAAGCTTTTAAATTTGTATTTAAATGATTTAGTATAATTTTTTAAATGAAAACCCAGACATTTTAGCCCCTTGTCTGCTGATGAACTTGTTTCATATCTAAACCATTTGCTGGTTGAATATTGTAACTTATGGAAACAGGTTAACTGCATAAAAATTAAAGGTCTAACTTTTTGTAAGGGTTCTGTAAACAAGCTAAATTTACATATTGGCTCTAATAACATTGAATAGGCCTATGTTGAAACTTATAAATATTGTGGTCTGATATTCCACCAATCACCAATATTACAATGTGCTGAACAGATCAGAAAGAGACAACCTCACATTAAATAATTCATAGGGGTGCAAATAAGAAAAACTAAAAATAGAAATTTTATGCTTTATTAATATTGGAATATAGTGACAAATGATCATGAATGCTTTATGTATGAAACTTGATGTAAAAATAAAAAAAATACTGAAAGTAGTCATTAAATTCCTGAAATGAAAACTAAAATGAATTTTTTTTAGCAAAATATACAATGTAGAGCATCGAAGCTTGTAACAAGTTCTGTGAGGGTTTGATTACTTTGCAAAATTGAATACATTAAGTTCCTGGAATAAATTAAATAATATAAAAGAGGTAAAAAAATGAAAGAGTCTGAGTTTCTATTTGGCCCTTATTAAAAGTGCTGTTCATCAATACTCCCCAAAATTGATGTGTGAAGTTTGTTTAGCATGCTCTTGTGCTTCATTTGAGCCTTTTAATGCCTTTTGGCATACAAGACATCGTAACATAAAGTTGCCAACATCTGTAAATTGTCTTCTCTGTTTAGCTTCTTCACCTAGCTCTAATGCTTGGGCTAAAATTGTTGGATCTGATGTCTTGAACTTAGATTGAGGAGGTATACTTGGCACACAGGCATCCAATATCAAGAAATCATAATGAATTCCATCATAAATTAATAAAACACGCTCTGCATAATTTCCATCTTCACCAAATCTATCAATTCTACCAGACTGAGTATCAACTACATCAATTTCAATTTGATAATATTTTGATAATATGGAGATTTCAATTCCACCACCCCATGATTCTTCATTCATTATCCATTTACAATAATCACTATTACTTTTACCTAACATTGCCTCACAATATGTCAGTGGATCACTCATAACAACACCAGCAATCAGTTGTCTTAATTGTTGAGCACATGATAGGTCAACGAAGCCACCTGTCATGGCTGCATTAACACTAGTAAATAAGCAAGAATTGTTAGCTGGAACTACTTTTCGTGTTAGAATACCTGTTTTATTTGACGTCAGTTGAGCTTGTAAGACCTCATCAGTAATCGAAGGCTTTGTTTGATTTGTGATTTGTTGAGAAGATTTAGTTGGCTCAATGATTAAAGTATCTCCAGAACGAAGATCAAAACTCTTCAAGTTTTTAGAGTTATCGTCGATATCTAGAATTTTAGGAGGAAAACCATGCCTAATTTGAAACCTATTGACAGGAAGGCTAACTATCTGTGAAATTTTTTGTTTTAATTCAGCAATAGTTGATTCCAAGGTTAACTGTGTGATAGAATGATGTCCTGTATTTGTTTTGCATCTCAATTTCAATTCTGCACACATCACTGGTTTTCAATTCTGAAATAACAATGAAATACATATATCAAAATATATAGAGGAAAAGGGGTAAACATATTTTACATACTTCACTGGGAACTAATAAGTAAACAAGGCTAAACAAGTCCTTAGATTATCTTCTTTCATTTTATTTTTTGTTCAGTCATGTCATCAATAGCTTGAGAGATTTCTTTTATTTAGCCACATGGAGCAAAGTTAACTACTAATCCATCAAAAATGGTCTTTCAAAGTTTGGGATTATCTGACAATTTGGCAACTTAATACAAAAAAAAATACCTGAAAATGCAAATGGCAGGATTTAAAAGCTTATGGATATAAGAATTTTTCGATTATTGCTACATTATTACATTGAGATGTTTCAGAAGTCAGAACCTAAAAAGGTTCCTGATATGCAAATATCTCTTTGACACAATTACCCATTTGTTAGAACATGTGGATAGGATAGAAGTTTCTAAATCTTTTAATAGTGATTATATTTAGTATCAAATGAATACATGACAACTTGGACCACTTTTCATAACACATTCGGACCACTTTTTCTGAGACTCGGACCAATATTATGCAAACTCCTTTTTAAAAACTCAGATTTTGTCAATTCAGACCACTTTTTAAAAACTCAGATTTTGTCAACTCAGACCATTTTTCATTACAGACTCAGACCACTTTAATTTGTAAAATAAATTCAAACTAGAAAGCTGAAAACAACTCATACTCAGACCAATGTTAAGACTTTGGGTGGTCCTGAAAAGGATGTTTGATATGTTGTACTTTATTTGAAAATAAATCCTGTAGTTGAAAGAAGACTTAATCACTCTTTTAAGAGGAATTGGTGGCCTTAAAAAGGGTTGTTTATTTGGCAATGTAAAGGGTCGCTCAAGCTTGGTGCTCATTATATCCTGGTTGTATGCAGAACATAACTGGAACAACTTCCCTTGAATGGTGCAGGTCTGCTGATAATAACATAATAAATAATACTAGATTATAATACCAAATCATCTAATCCTTAACTAATCCGATTGAAAAATACACATCAAAGTGAAAACTATTATTAAGTGATCAAAAAAACTTGGACCGAGTCCCAAAAAAAAGGTGTGGTGAAAAGTGGTCTGAGTTTCTTTTTTGTGTTTTTTAAAAATTGTTAAAAATTTGCTCTAAAAAGTTGCTTATGAAAAGTGGTCCGAGTTTCAATAAAAGTTAAATTGTTTAAAACTTGGTCCAAGTCTCAAAAAGTGGTCAGAGTGTGTGATGAAAAGTTGTCTGAGTTTGTTACCAAAAGTGGTCTGAGTTTTACGGTGGCTTACATATGACATATTTCACTTTTAATTTTGAATTAAAAACATTAATTTTCACCTAGGTGAGAATTAATTTTGAATTAAAAATTATCACCTAATTTTTACCTGATTAAAAATTAATTTTCACCAAGTAAAAAAACAGTTTTTAATTCAAAATAAAAAGTGGAAAATGTCGTATGTGACCCACCGTAGAGTTTCAATAAAAGTAAATAATGTTAGAAAGTTATGTTATAAAAAGTAGTCTGAGTTTTGTATGAAATATTAAAAAAAAAAAGTACATGAGAGTCACAAGTAAGCAGTCCTTCGTCCAAAAACACCCAATAAGTAAAGCAGAAGTCTTTCATGAATAAATAAACAGCTTTGTTTGAATTTGTGTCTGTTATGCCAATGGAAGCCTTCTCATTCTATACTCTATACGCCCACATTATAATGTGGGTGTATATTGTCGTCACCCCTGTTCGTCCGTCTGTCCACAATTGGAACGCAAGGTTTTTGAGTTTTTGCCCTTGACTTAGAGACCAGAATTTTCATCCGATTTAAATGAAATTTGGTGTGATCAGTGTGATCAATTATAATGATGAGATCTTGGACAAGTTCGAATTTTACGATCTTTCTTTGAATGTTTTTGAGTTAATGCCCTTTACTTATGAAAAACGCGTCAAAATTTATTTGTGAATACAATAGAGAGTACTGTTTTCATCCAATTTAAATGAAATTTTGTGTGATCATTTATAATGATCAGACCTTAGTCACATTGGTATTTGACAATTTTTCGATCAACGGTATTTGAGTTATTGCCCTTGACTTAGTAAAAACACATCAAAATTTGATGGCGATAGAGGTGACAGTTTATTTCAGAATTTTATTAAATAATGTGTGTTTGTTTAAATCAACAATATCTTGCAAAAATGACTGCCCTTGATATCTGAAAATGTATCAGGAAAGTGGGCGTATCTTGCTAGGCAACCACATGTTTATATTCGTTGACACTATTTTCTCTACATAGCCAAATTTTATTAGAATACCAAAAACTCAGTCCAAAACAAACTCTGGCCACTTTTTATGACAAGCTCAGCCCACTTTTACGGGACTCACGACTTTATACAAATAATGATTATATTTTATGACAAACTCAGGCCACTTTTACGGGACTGGGACCAAATAATGATTGTTTTTCAGAACATTTTGAAAGACTCGGACCAAATAATGATTTACATCAAACTCGGCCCACAGACGATGCAAACTGGGACCACTCATAATTTTCTTTTGTGCCGAGTCTCCAGGAAATAGTCTCAGTTTGTAGTGAAAGATAATTATACTAGAATTAAAAAGTAAGGTAAGATTAAATATTGGTCAATTAATTGTTTAAAACTTGGTCCGAGTCAAAAAGAGTGGGCTGAGTTTGACAAAAAAAAGTGGGCCAAGTTTGCATTGGGTTGAGTTTGTTTTGGTTCAAGCTGTCCTGATTCCATTTTATTACAGTCAAGTAACCTAATTTTGTGCTAACCCAATTTTCGTGCATCTTCGGAAAAGATTAAGAATTTACATGTGCATGACATTTGCTTGTTTTGATAAACATGGGTTATCTGTACAATATCAGCTAGTAGAATGAATCCAGTAGTTTCAAGGTAAAATGTATTAAAGTATACTTTGACAAAACAAAATGGCCGATTTCAATTATTATCAAATTTCCTTATAATTCCTAGCTGTAATCGGAATTCCAAGAATGTAGTCCAATGAACGAAGTCATGTGATAAACTAGCGATTCCGTGTCAGCAGAAAATTCTATGGAACACAATGTGGGCTATTTTCTTATGTTGTTTCAATGTATTTTAACAATAAACCACTCTTAGGTTTTCCTTATCTTATTTTGTCAGTCACTATTTTTTCCAAATCATTGTTCTTTGAAGGAATTGTCACTAGTTATAATGAAATATTATTAAAGATAAATACTAAGAGAAGTTGATCATACCACTGGGTATCCATACATGTTTTTCTCGACTTATTTATAGATCAAACATAGTACATGAAAATATGTGACGCATTTAGCAGCCATTGTCGAGTTGGTTACTCATGAAATATGGGTTAAGAAAAATAATCGAAACAAACCAATTTTAATTATTTTGTAGAATATCTGAGGAAACTTTGACGAAGTTCGATGATGAATCCTTATATGCGCGAATATAGGTTCACCACTGTAATATTGACAGAACTTCATGATTCAAGGCAAGGGCCTGTCCTGTGGTCTATGAGTACAGTGGTGTAACCTATTTTCGTGGATATAAGGATTCAACACCGAATTTCGTCAAAGTTAAAAAAACGAAAAAAAAATTTTTATGTCTTAGATATTTCCTCAGATATTCTACAAAATAATTAAAATTGGTTTATTTCGATTTTCTTTATGAATCCTTCACTTTGACCCATATTTCATGAGCGACCAACTCGGCAACGGCGGCAGAATACGTCACCTATTTTCGTGTACAATGTTTGATCTATAAATAAGTTGTAAACACGTTGTATGGATACCGGGTGGTATAATTAACTTCTCTTAGTATTTATCTTTAATATCAATTCATTATAACTAGTGACAATTCCTTCAAAGAACCATGATTTAAAAAAAAAATAGTGACTGACAAAATAAGATACGTTGCGTGATTTATTGCTAAAATTCATTGAAACAACATAAGAATATGGTCCACTTTGTGTTCCATAGAAATTTTCTACCGACACGGAATCCACTAGTTGATCACGTGACTTCATTGTTGGATGACACTTGGAATTCTGATTACCGCTTGGGATTATAAGGAAATTCAGCCGATAAAATTTTTTTTATATAATTTAATTAAGTTAATAATACCACCCGGTATCCATACAATGTGTTTTTCTAGACTTATTTATAGATCAAACATTGTACACGAAAATAGGTGATGCATTCTGCCACCGTTGCCGATTTGGTTGCTCATGAAATATGGGTCAAAGTGTAGGATTCATAAAGAAAACCGAAATAAACCAATTTTAATTATTTTGTAGAATATCTGAAGAAACATCTAAAACAAAAAAAAATTAACTTTGACGAAATTCGGTGTTGAATCCTTATATCCACGAAAATAGGTTACACCACTGTACATTTATACATTTTACCTTGCTTGAAACTACTGAATTCATTCTACTAGCTGATATTGTAGAGAAAACCCATGTTTATCAAAAAAAACTAATGCGGAGGTCGCGCAATGTTGCTCATGTAAATTATTAATCATTTCCGGAAATCCACGAATAATAGAGGCATTTTTACGCACTTAAATCTGATTCGATTACCCTAATCAGAATGACGTCACAAATCGAATCTGATTTATACTGCAGGATAAATGAACATTATACTATTTATAGTTTCCAAGATGGCAGCAAGGCAGGAAGAAATTACCTTGCACGTAATGGTTTTGACGTGTTGGACGCCATTACTAAAGCGGAAGTTAGCAGAGCGGATTAACGTACAGTATATCGATTTGATTCGCTGCTACAATAAATGCCCTGATTACCATAATCAAATTTGATTTGATACAGGATAAATGGTTTTAGACCAAATCGAATCAGATTAACCCAGGATAAATTCGACTTAGGTTTTTACGAAATTAGGTTACCTGACTGTATGATAACCATTGCCATAGATAGGTGAGCTATAACTTCCCTTTCTTTTGACTTTTATGTATCTTCGAAATACAGATTTTTTGTTTTAAACCAGAAACACAGTTCAACACTTTATAGTTCAATGGACAAATTTTGTGGCGAAAATCGTGTTTGATTGCTTCTGGAGTGTCTCCCAGTTTTGGAGTTTATAGAAAAACTACAGGAAGTACGTTAAACGTCATTGTTTTCGTGATCAGTTCGCGTGAATGGTTTTCCTCACCAAAATGTAACTAACCATCAACTACATGCATGATGGATTGGGGGTAAAACCGTATCTACAATATAGTCTTTATTTAGAAAATATCTATAAAAAAAAGTATAAAATTCCTCGTCTTTTACATGCAGAGATTTCTAATTTGATATCAATGGTGGGTGAGAGGTAAGGTAAATACAAACCAGAAGCAGTAATTCATTTTGAAATCGCACGAATACAGCTGATATCTACAACAATATTAATGATGTTTTAAACAACATCCGACTTAAAATGTCGCATAAATCAAGTGTTCCACTACCAAATAAAGGTAAAATTTGCCTGCTGTTGGCCACAAATCTGTATTTTGATGTAGTTGATAGATACATTAAGTGACGGCACTGGAGTAGAGCCTTTTCAGGGGGCGGGGTTCAGAAAGGGGTATTGTCCCAGTTTCCTCTGAGATCATGACAGGAGACGATAAAATTTGCTAGAACAATGATAATTTAAACCAAAATTTATTGATGTTGTGATTTGTTCAAAGAATAAACAAGAATCCCCCCGTACTCCCCATAACAACTCCAGATTTGGTTATGTGGTTTCCACTGTACTTCTGCATGTGGAATCTCAAAACTAATAATTGCCACCCAATTAAATCAATCTGTCACCTATTTGTAGGTCTACCCCACTTTTGAGAGGTCAGCGCTGCATTAGAATGTTTGCATTGTCAAATATAGAAAATTATATCATTTGTCACCACGGTCTGACAGTGACACAATATAGCCCATACATGACCTTAGTCTACATCGGTGCCTGACATAGACCTAAACATTTGTCTTTCTCCCAGCATCAGATTGATATTTGGACAGAGATGTTGGCTGGTGTAGAGACAGAAAAAATGAAATTTTAGATCATTCAATAATTGATAACAGACATGTTACATCTGTGTTAGGTCGATAAAATACTAAATCATACTTTGTATAGTTGAAGTTAAACAACAGAGGCATTTCAATTTCACATGTGTTCATCTCAAAAAAGTATTAAGAATTTCTTAGTTTCCACATATCAAATTATAAGTTTGGGACTACTTTGTAATGCAACAACACATGCTTACAAATATTTTGCACACTTTAAATGGCTTTATTCTCTTAAAGGGATTGTAAAGAGGTTTTCTAGCCTTTTTATACGCCAACCGATGTCCTCCCGCCCACAATTGCTCGTAAACACTCTAGAGGGCACAATTCTACTTCTTATTTAACTATTAAATCTAAATTAAAAAACGCAAGTGTCTCTTATCATTTCATCGGTAACAAATCTTCAAATACAAATCATGCCTAACAAATGTTGCTAATCATTTCACCAAATACATTTCTCGAATATCAAACAATGCCATCTGTCTTCATTGAAATTATGAGGACAGGCGGTGCTGACTGTTGTTAGATTATCTGATACAGACTATAGATTCTGATAATGTCGTATTACCAAACTGAAAGTAGTCTAGAGCTTCGGTTACATGAAAACCATTGCGGTTGTAAATATTGTTTCTCTTCTTCTTATGCCCCACTGGGATTATCTGTTTTAATTTTCTTGTCCTTATCAAGAGAGACCAGCCTCACAGACCAACCGAAGCGATATGTTTTGCAAATGAGAAGTCTACTCTGCTGCAGGAAAATTTATTTTTAAGAAAAGTCCATTCATTAGAAAATTATCAACGAGACAATTACCATCTTATTACTGAGATCCAAACTACCGTGGATATGATGAGTTTACATAGTCTAAGCATAGGCCTACCAAAATGTGCTTAATCGGAATGAAACTCCAGCATTTAATCCAGTAAGACTCTATTTTAAGAAATCTGAAATTTCGACTTGTGGAATAAGTTATAATTTCAATGCACACTATAATGAAGACAGATGAGGCTGTATTCGAGAAATGTATTTGGTGAAATGATGAGCAACATTTGTCAGGCATGATTTGTATTTGAAGGTTTGTTACCAATGAAATGATAAGAGACACTTGTGTTTTTTAATTTAGATTTAATAGTAAAAAAAAAGTAGAATTATGCATACACAAATTTTCAAATCAATTTTACTTGACAATAACCAACAAATGATGCAGTAGGAATGACTCAGGATGAAGTTTAAGACGTGGTCTCTTCGGTCTTCCATACATTCTGTTAAAACTAAGCAATATAAGACATAGTAAAGTGTTATATAAGGTAAAGGTGGGACAAAATGTCATTTCCAGTTAACTCTTTCTGGAATTGCAGAAGCCACATGTATGTGACGAAGAATTGTAATGTCCCAAATAGAAATCAAATATTCACATAAATACTATAAAACCTATTTACAATGAATATGGAAATCTACCAGATGTCTGTGAGCTAGAAAGAGCTGGTACTTGGCTGTACTTTTCTGATACATTTGCAGGGAAATGAGCGTATTCTTCAATAGGATTTTAAAAGGGGCATTCAGCCTTTTTGTGAAAAAATTTCATTATCAAAAACGTGGTAAATTTAAGGGACTGGTGCACCATTCTTTTTAGCTAAGCCAATCAGCAATAGCGTTAATATCTCACATTTGAGTCTTTAAATCCATGTTATCCGTGTTTGTATGTTAAAATGACAACTCATCGTCTTAAAATACTCTGTGATTTATAGAAAAGACATGTGTAGAAATAGTGAGTAGAATTTCTAGTTTGAGATATTTTTGAAGGACTGAAGATTATTTGCATATTTTCAAGACTCAAATCAACCCCTCAAAATGGCACACCTGTCCCTTTTAACCAGAAAATATGTCTATAGTATACTATTTATGTCTACTTGATCAAACTGAATTTTTTTTAAAGGGGTTATTAAAAACAGAGAGTACCAATTGTTAATGAAATAGTTTGAATAAGTTTTGGTGTTTGGCTTTATAATGGCTTGGTATTATTAGTTGAAACCTTTAGAATACGTATGAGACATATTTCTCGACAAGCTTTTCTATTAAGCTTTTATTTTACTTAAATCCGTACAGTAGTTTTCTAACAGCTTTTTAAACTTTTTAAATATTTTAGGCTTTGAAAAAATTAACAGCTGGATTTTTTTAGATAAGTAAAGGGAGATTTTTCTCTAGATTTTGTGTACCGGTACAGTTTTCACAAATTAGAACAAATATTTTTTTCGACCTACAAAAAAGCGTATTGCACCTTTTACTAACTGAAAGATTTATGTTAATTATACTTTTAATCTCTAACGAAAGCAACTTTTGTATTTTAGAAAATAAGAATATATGATTATATTGTTCTCTTTTTGAAAACACAACCGTTCATTTATGATTAAACTTCATTGATTTGTTTTTAGCAAATTATGACTTGATTATGGACAAACTGATATCTTTCACAATATAATAGTATTAGCCTTCCAATAACTGAATTGAATAAATGTAAATGATGGGACCCATCTTGAATTACTTTATGAAGATATTATTGCAATTATCATGATACTGTAAATGCTGTAAGCTTATACTAAAAATGTCTCTTCATTTTGTATTATTTCTAAAAAATCACCCCCCATCTGCACACGTTCTATTCCGTGTATATATTTCATTATGAAATGGCACCAGAAGCAGAATGGTCCTTTAAAATAGTTCAATAGCTAGTGAAGCAAAATTTTTAACTACTGTAATTAATCTATATTGAACTACACCTTACAAATGCTTAGATTTACTGTTTTATTTAAGTTTTATGAGTACAGCGGACACTGATAACATCAGTTCTTGCAATTCTACCTAACTACATGACGTATGCATTTTATGACATCACTATCGCAAAGGTCCTTCTATTTATCAATAATTTAAATGGAATTATTCTGCAAGAACCACTGACTGAAATTGGAATGATGAGAGATTGTTTGACATAGATATTTTATGTAATAGGATATAATTTTAAAGAACTAACCTACAAATACTCCAGGTTCATTGTCCTTTCACATATAATGTATTACAAAGATGAACTCTTCACAAGTTTTGTCATAATGATGATCTGAATGCAAAACACACTGTTGAATAAATTTGTTTTCTATTCTTCCTACTTCATGTGCAAAATGTTTTTACATCATCAAAAATTCTCAAATAGAATTTATAAGCTTACATTTCATAGCTTTATATCTTAAGTTGTATTTCATGAGAGAGAAAAACAAAATACATACCTACCGTTTGATTATGTTAAATTTGCCATTCCTCGATGGAATTATTCTATTGTATTTCGGAAAATATATCTTGAGCCAATAACTGCAGCATATATTTCCATTTTGTAAGTTGAGGGGCTTTTTCTGTAGAAGGTGAATTAACTTAACTAGGAACACTTAAGCAGGTAAAGAAAAATTACATATGAGATTTCAACCAATATAAAGAAAATAGTTAAAATGTAATGTGTGGTAGTCATAGTAGGTATTGTTTATTAGTCACTTTAATAGTTAAACATGTGAAATATTTAAGTTTGAATGATAAGTTTATATTATGCTGTAATAATGTTTGGTGGAGTGTAAAGTATAGGACAACCTACTAAGGTGACATTACATAGGTGACAGTATTATTAGGATATTGAACATTTTATTATGCCTTCTTGTAACTCCTGTATTTGTAAGTTGAAATTATGTTCATTTCATAATCTAATTGAGGAAGTCATAAGTTTATTTAGATGAAAAATCTTTTAAATCTTGTCTTAAACTTGGCTAATAAGTGTTGTATGCAGCACCAGTACTTAAGCTAAACTTTGACTCAAGTTAGACTTAAAGGAACAGTTGCACCAGTTTTTTTTAACCAATCATACCTTAGTCTCAAAAATGGGAATTTTTTAGTCTAGCCAATCAGTTGTCAGAGAAATTTGAGCCTTCAAATCCATGTGTGTCCAGAATTAAAAGTTAAAAAGACAGGTCAACTTTTCTTGAGACAGCTTATAGAAAATACATCTTTAGAAATAGGAAATCACAAAATGGCTGTCAGGAATTGATTGTTTACTTTTCAAAACGATCTTATCTATTTATTAGGGAATTGTTGAGGATGTGTCATTCAGTGAAAATATGACAGACATATTCTGGAAAATATGTAGGTGATCTTACATTTCAAAGTCAATTATGGCAATCATCAGGAAAACCTTAAAAAAGGTATTCAAAAGGCAAGGGGTAAAATGTGTTCAGTTCAAAAAATTATTTTGAACAGAAGGTTCAAAGGACAAGGTGAACCAATATTATTTTCAAACTTTAAACATTCTTTGATGGTCTGACAGAGTAATTATAATTAGTGATAAAGTAGAACTGTTTGTTAAATGACACTGTTGACCTTCCTTTGCCAAACATCATGACAATACTGGTGCAGTAGGCTATGATATAATATACCTTCTCTGGACTCAAGGGAAATTAAGATCAAATTTCACAAGTCATGGACAAATGTCCGAAATAAAAAACAACCCTAGATATATGACCAAAAAAAGAAGTTTAATTGAGTGAGTTTCTTGTTTCACAATTCCCCCTATCTTTTTAAGTAATAGACAGTTGCAATGGGTCCCCTGAAATGCCTACTAATTTTTTGTTGTTGCAGAGATTGTAGGTAATCAAGACTTCCCTACAAAATAGTTTTTTCCCTTATGCAAGTATGATTTACACTGGCATAAGAGGATAAGGTGCTTCTATATATGCCTTTATCTTGTACAAAGTTATACCTTTGAATTACATAATATGGTATTGAATATCACAATTATAATCTAGATTTAAGATAAATTCACCATCAATTTTGGTCTATTAAATACTATAAGTATCTGTAAGTATCTGTATCTGGCAGTAACTAGAATAGAATTAGGTAGTTATAATAACACTCGCTGCCTCATCATAGATTCCTCTCAAGTCGAGCTATTTATTACTTGGCACTATATCCTGACCTTGAGATATTCTGCCTATAGGATACATGAAGGTCATGGTTCACTATCTGCAATCAGCTGATCAGGTCTTCAACAGAATGTAGTCCAGTTACATGTTAGTTCTGTAATAGTTAAGACAATTATTGGAAATAGATATTTTTCTGTGGCTAGAAAATGAAGTGAATATATAGTAAATACAGATAATTTAACAGGACAGGAAGTGTTTATTTAGATCCTGGTTGTTGTAGTTATCTCACTGTGCGAGGCGTTATTCAAATTTTATGGAAAGTACCATACAGTGTTATTGTTAGTGTTCTATATTATTTTGTTAATTAGTTGAGATATATTGTTTTGGATTGTTTGATGTTGACCAATTGAATCATTACCTACAGTTTATTAGTTAAATTGGATTGAATGTTGCTATTGTTTTTTGTTACCAAAGACGAGTATCACTTTCATTATCTAAAACTTGGAATTTGTCATTTTTTCTAGGATAATAAAATTCATGGTGCATGGTTGAGATTTTCTTTTCGGTTTTATTTGTTTCTATTGTTCTAACTCGAAAGAACAGACACAATTAGACTGTAAAAAATGGAAAGTTGGCAGAGTTTGGAGTGATTAAAAGATATATTTAGACACTATTAACAGGTTGCTTTAACAGAAATCTTGTATGAAAATGAAAGGTATTTGAATATCTTACAATTGTTAAAAGAATTATTAGAATTGGCCCAAATATATTTTTTTTTTTATCAGTTGGGATTATTGAAGATAATGGAAAAGTGCACAAAAATCATAAATCTCCTCAACTTTAACATTTTGTTTAATTTACTTGATTTCTAAGTTCTGGCATTTAAAATGAAGTCTATTCAGGTAGTTATAAAGAAGGTTGTATGTGTCCATGTTTCTTGTGGTTATTAATGTAACATTATTATTTATAACATTAATATACATTATTGATCTTATATTTATCGTCAGTTTAAAGAGAATTTAAATGTTATGGTGTTATGATTTATGAACTATTGCAGTATTAGAAATCAGAGCTTTTGCTATCTCATTGAATGACAGATTTAGATTTTGTTCATTTAGTTGGCCAGGTTACAATCCAATCCATGTTGTGTAGAAATTCATCCTAATTGCTTTATTGTGTTTATCTATAGATATGAATATGGTCATCTTTTTTAACATTTGCTAACTTACATCTGCAGAAATGTTTTCATGCTACATATGATATTGTACACATTTTATTCATACTATTCCTTTAAGTCATAAATCATTGTCAGTAATAATGTTTTTGGAATAGGTCTGATTGATTACAGAATGTTTTTCCTTTGAAAGCCTTTCATTATTATGTATGAACCGTTGTTTATGCATATATTGATGTCAATACTATAATGTTGTTATTAGTACTGTGAGGTTATATAGTTTGGATATAGTCATTCTATACATTGTTTCTCTGAATGATTAGACTTGGAGTTTATTGAAATTAAAAAAAATCAATGAATACAGTGTGAAAGATTTCTTTTATAGAAAGTGCTGTAATAAGATCAATGTTTTTGGCCGGTTAGATATATATGTTATAGTACACAGTGATTATTGTTTGTCAATTGAATAGCCTACATGTTGTACCTGTTATAATGGCTGATAAAACTAAGAGAGAATTATGGGGTACAGGTAAAGACCTATTTCTATGTATATAGCCAGATATTGTTTTATGTTTAAGCTTAGTTTATAACATAAATTTCAAGTTGCTGCAGATTTGAAATAAATATGATTGAAGTATGACAATCAAGAAATTTCAATGTACATATGGTAAAAATTTTTTCGTATTTTTGAAAATAAATTGTATTAGTGCCATAACACTTTCAACAATGATCAATGACAATATCCCAACAAAAAATACAGGCAAAAAGAGTGAAATTTGATTTTCAAAGGGCTCTATTATTTCTTTGCCCCCAGAATATTATTGACAAATTTTCATGTGATTTCTGTATTTGCCAATTAGATTCATGACATTATCTCAGTCACATATATATATATGTATTGATTACTTCAATTAGTATTCATTGTTTTTACTCTAGCCAGATAACCAACATAATAAATTGCCATGTTATCTTATAGTCTTACATATACATAATACCACAATAATCTGTATGTTAGCTGACCTTGAATGATTAGGTAGAAAGGTTCATTCCCACAAAGTTACAGCTTGGGTCAAAGAATATAACAGTGACTTCTTGGTAATTGGTAACTTTGTGGGGAGATTCTGGTAGAAAGAATCAATCATTGTTTATAGTATTAAGAAAACTTCATTTTATGAATGGGTAAAATTTAAGCTTAAAAAAGCTAAATCTATCAACATACAAAAAAATGAATAACATTTCTTTCATGTTTTTTCACCATTTATTGATTAATTGATTGATATTAATTTAGTCCTATCAAATTAGTTCTCTAAAAATTGATGTCAAAAACATTGCAATTTTTGATTTTTGATTTTATCTTTAAATGTCAATTGATCTTTATAGTTGTTATAAAGACTGCAATTACTTCACAGTAAACAAGCTATTGTTCAGGTTATTTCCTAAAGATATAGTTAATAAGGCTTGAAGCATCTTTTCCATCCTAACAAGGTAAAGTAGTTGTCAAGATGTGTGAATTTTAGTTTAGGTTAGACTTGTGTTTGACCAAATGAATAAATGTAATTTAATAAAAAAAATTTGTTTTTCAGCATCATGTCCAAATGTTGTACAAGTACCAACTGTTATTTCTATGGTGGGACTTCCAGCTCGCGGCAAAACTTACATGTCCAAAAAATTGACAAGATACCTCAATTGGATTGGTATTTCTACTAAAGGTAAGGTTGTGCCAAACGATGAATTTGGTCACAATAATTTGTTCTCAAATTATTTGTTATTTTTTCAATTCATGTAATAAAGAAAATGTATCAATTTAATAATACATGCCATAACCAAAATCAAAGGAAAATATATTCTAACATGTAAAGGAGGGAAAGGTATTTTGATTTTGAGAACTGAAAGCATGAAGATCTTACATGACATCATGATGATTCAGCTTTTTATTATTTAAATATATTTATCTTAATTATCATTTAATTATAGTATTTAATGTTGGTGAATATAGAAGAGCTGCAACAGATAAATATAAATCTCATGATTTCTTCCGTCCTGATAATAAAGAAGCACAGGAGATAAGAACGTAAGTCTTGCCATTCTTACTGACAATGATCATGCCTTTCATACTGACACCAGATTTCTTGTAAACAATGTTATCGAAGTGAAGGCATAATTGGATCAATACAGAAATGTGTGTCAAACCAGTGATTAAGTACCATTATAAAATTTTCAATTTGTGTCAAGCCAGTGATTAAGTATCATTATAAAATTTTCAATTTGTGTCAAACCAGTGATTAAGTACCATTATAAAGTTTTCCATTTTTGTCAAACCAGTGATTAAGTACCATTATAAAGTTTTTCCATTTTTGTCAAACCAGTGATTAAAGTACCATTATAAAGGTTTCACTTTTTGTTAATCCAGTGATTAAGTATCATTATAAAGTTTTCCATTTTTGTCAAACCAGTGATTAAGTACCGTTATAAAGTTTTCAGTTGTTGTAAATATTAGTTCTGTATTAGGAAATGTGCTCTGATGGCAATAGAGGATGCTTGTAAATTTTTACAAAATGGTGGAGAAGTGGCTGTAAGTAAAATTTCAAAATCTTTTACAATATTATCAAGTGGTATTTCTTTATTTGATCCTACCTACAAAGGAACAACATTACTTTTGGTTGAAAATATAATTCTAGATGATTTCATCCTAACAAATCGCCAAATAATTTATAGATGGGTTCCCTTATTTTCATTTATAGAAATGAAAATGCTAATAGTTATATGAATAGAAAGTAGAGGTGTTCAAATGACTTGGAATAATACTAGTTTGTCTCATATGTCCATAATTAATTCATAATTAACTAAATTCGAAGAAAATTATCAACAAAATTCCATTAAGTGACCGAAAAGTCTTTTTATTTTACTGACTGTACATACATGGACATTTATGTTTGGTCAAAACTCTTAACTACAGTTATATGCAATAAGAACATAATGATATGATTAAAGATAAATAATAATTCATTAGAAACACAAATTAATCAAATAGTTTGCTTAATTTGACACTAAAAAATAAGGAAACCCATCTTTAAATAGAATTTTACATAAAGATTTATAGATAGTTTGCTATGTGTATAGTTTTCTATCTTTTGAAATATGATGTATTTAATATTTAAGGTTGTAGATGCTACCAATACTACCAGAGCTAGGAGAAAGATGTTAGTAGAAGTATTCACAATACAACACAACTTTAAACTATTCTTTGTAGAATCTTTATGTGATGATATCAATATTATAGAAGCTAATATATTGGTAGGTGTAAAGTAATATTACTACCAAGTCATTCAGATTTTGGTGATGATTGGACTTCTTGCAGCATAGAACTAGCAATGGTGCACATCAAATTTTTAGCTCTAGGTGATGGTGCTGATATTTGCATGTACTTAACCATTCTTAAAAATGTTGACTCAATAGCAAATTAATTAGTAAAGTTACTTGGAATAATTTTGTAAGCTTTTTTGTACTATTTTTTGTGTCTGTTACAAGCACATTTTTGTGTTTGATTCATTTTTTTTACAGGAAGTAAAAGTCTGTAGTCCAGATTATTTAGGAGTAGATAAAAATGAAGCTGTGAAAGATTTTTTACAGAGAATAGAACATTACCGTGAAACATATGAAGCCTTAGATTATAATTTAGATAGTGATATGTCTTTCATTCAAATTGTTAATCAAGGTGATAGATTTTTAGTTAATAAATTAGCTGGTAAGTCTATTTTAATCCACATTAAACACCAATGGCACCTTAGACTGCAGCATTGTGTATTAATGTCTGTTTGGTGATTTCCAAGTTTGAATCCTGTGATGAAAACTCCCTTTCTGATGCTATGGCCAGTGCTTAAGGAGTTCAGATTTGGGCTCTTTTATTGTTCAAACTTCTAAAGTTTACTAGAATGGCACATTGTTTTTTCATGTTTGTGTATCTATGTTTTACAGGACATTTACAGAGTCGTGTTGTATATTATTTAATGAATATTCATGTGTTACCCCGCACAATTTACTTAACAAGGGTAAGTTTTTGAAAATTTATTTTATAAGGACTTCAATTAAGATCATACAAAATATTCAACAAGCTTGAAGATTGTGACATGAGAACAGTGAACCATTTCATCTCAAGTGTAAAGATATGACACTGATTTTCTGGGTTTTTTTTTTTTACCAAAATACCATTACCATGGGTATTAAATCTAGATTTACATGAACCTAGATCTTGGTCTTCCTCAATTGTTTCTGAAAGGAACATCATAGAATTCATTTAGTGTCAAAGACCACTATTGATAGGACAATCAAATACTAAGATAAACTTGAATACTTTCACAGCCCCATAAATGTGCTATGGACAATGACAGTTTTCTATTGTCAGTTTGGCATTTTGAAATCATGAATAATGTTATCCAAATCATTTTGCAGTCAAGTTTTGCAGATCTATATACATTTACAGCTGTGTTGATAGGTTTTCAAATGATTAAGGTATAAGAGGTTTATTTGGTGGTGTAGTAATTTGAACGGATAATCATTAATCCTATCTCTAAAGTAATAGTTATTCAATACAATTGTTAGTCTAATTTATTTTTATTTAATTTAGCATGGTGAAAGTGAAATGAATTTATCTGGTAGAATAGGTGGAGATAGTGATTTATCAGAGAGAGGTCAAGAGGTAACTATATATGTGTCAGTGAAGAAAACACTGTCATTGTGTTAATAATAAATATTTTTTCCAATATGTCTATTAATTCAATATGTAAAATGATATATTTTTTATTCAAGTATGCTAGAAAATTAGCCCAGTTTGTAGAAGAAGAAAAGATACCAAATTTAAAAGTTTGGACGAGTCAATTAAAACGTACTATCCAGACAGCTATAAATATTGATGCTCCAAAAGAACATTGGAAAGCTTTGAATGAAATAGATGCTGTAAGTTTATGAAATTTTGAAGATAATTCAATGAATGCATTATGTATTTGATAGTGTATTGTTTATATTTGCAATAACATTAAGTTGTTGTCCTTGCTAAAAAATATGATGTCAGTACAATTGAATGAGTTTGTCTTGAAAGAAGAAGATTAAATTAAATAAGATTATTTAGAAAATTTCAGTAGGATATTTTTTCATCATATAATGGATATAAATATTTTTGTATAGGGGACCTGTGAAGGGATGACATATGAAGAGATACAAGAAAAGTTTCCAGAAGAATTTGCTTTAAGAGACCAAGATAAATTCCATTATAGATATCAGAGTGGAGAGGTAAGGCAATATATATATAAATCCCTTGAAACATGAATACATATGGTATCTCTCAAAGATAATATCCCTTGAAACATGTAGATATATCATATTTCTCAAAGATAATACCCTTTGAAACATGTAGATATATCACATCTCTCAAAGATAATATCCTTTGAAACATAAAGATATATCACATCTCTCAAGGATAATATCCTTTGAAACATGAAGATATATCACATCTCTCAAAGATAATATCCTTTGAAACATAAAGATATATCACATCTCTCAAAGATAATATCCCTTTGAAACATAAAGATATATCACATCTCTCAAAGATAATATCCCTTGAAACATGAAGATATATCACATCTCTCAAGGATAATATCCTTTGAAGCATAAAGATATATCACATCTCTCAAAGATAATATCCTTTGAAGCATAAAGATATATCACATCTCTCAAAGATAATATCCTTTGATCCTTTCATCTATCAGAGATATCTCTTAAATCAACAAGTAGAAAAAAGTAGGACCACAAAAGAATTGAACAAGTCCATATAGTTTTTAACAATGATCATTATAATGACCGTATTATGATCATGGTCAATCTCCCATACTGCATACAATTGTGTCTGTACCAGAAATTGTTGTGTATTTGTTCTGTTAAATCTCTTTTAGTCATATCAAGATTTGGTGGCCAGATTAGAACCAGTAATATTAGTAAGCTTATTATCATTTATCCTATTTGTCTATAAGTTTTTTTTATCTTGAAATCAGAATCTAAATCCCTTGTTTTGTTGGTCTAAACAATAATATTATGTCTGAGATGATTTAAAATGGGACATGGGACCCCTTATTCGTTCTTGAACTTTGGATTTGATCAGTTAATGGCTATCTCTCTGGTACAGTTGTTAATGATATCTCTGATCAGGTCATTGTTCTTGAATTGCACACTTTATTATCATTTTCCGCCTTTTGATATCATTTAATTTACAAGGAATTTGTTGATTAGGAACTAGAAAGACAAGAAAATGTAATGGTTGTTTGTCACCAAGCTGTGGCTAGATGTTTATTGGCCTATTTTCAAGATAAAACTTCAGGTTAGAACACATTTAATTTATTGATTGTGTATAACATAAACAACAGGCATTTAAGACAGTTCAGATTTGATTTTTTTAAGTATGGCAAGAAACATAATGTACTGGTTTCATATTATTTTTTTCTCAATTTTGTTTTTCGTTTATTTTATTTTCTTTTGTTCATTTCTCTCTACTATGCAGAAGTATATGGATGGCTTCTTTTTCTGTATGACCCTCCATATATTCACATTTGTTTGTAAATATTCCACTGTGCTGTATAATACAAAATGAAAGAATGTATTTATACTTAACAGGAATATTTCTTGTTGAAGTAAATGCATGATATAGCTTTGGTCAATTATTTTGATATTATTAAGTATGTATCTCTAAATGCCTCTAAATGTGAAAGTAGGTTCTAGGCCACAAAGAAAGTAAACGTTATCTATATTTTTTACACTGTTCAAGAGATTCTTACTTCACATACTCTCTCTAAACTGCATCATCTTGAAACATGCCCTTGAAACCAGCATATTACCTTGAAATGTCCTGACTGAATAACTATATATAGTCTTCAAAAAGAACCCCAATAAACTCTCTAACCCAGTTCTGGCATCGAAATCAAGTCCCATAGTTGCCAATCTATAGTTAATTAACCTCAGTAATCCATTGACATAATTAAAAGTTATTATGACATGAGCTGCGACTAATTATCAAAGTAAACAATAAATCAGTAATCCAATTAAAAATAACGCCTCTAAACTGGCATTATCCAGCGGTCAGTTGTGGTATTGGTTTAGAGGGTTTTTCTGTAAATGTATTTGTATAATGAATATCGACAAATAGTAGCTATTGATTACATTTTCTAGAAAAGGGTATGACTTTGATCTTTTGGCATCGAAAGTTGCTTTACTGATTATCATAACGGAACAGATCGTACAGATAGTATATTTTTTAACCTTACAGAATGATATCGCCCAAAGGACTCTGAAGTCATTGCTCATTGTGATACAAGTAGTTGAAACCAAAATCATAGTCTGATTAGATTTAAAGATTAGCAATTTGAATTTCTTTGTTTTTTTAGTTGTTAAAAAGCTTTATTTGATCATTTTTGTTTGCTACAACAGGAATTTTATATCATTTTGTATTTTTGAAGTTCAGCTCTTTTGAGATTTCCCTGGTTTATAAATATTGATAAAATATCTTTACCAACGTCATGCATTAATATGTGCTAACACGTAGCTTTTAGCAGCCTAACTATATCTGGTTGTGTTTAATAGTGAGGTGATTTTATATGTTCTTGGTAACAGCGACTGTTAATCATTATTGAAATGTTTTATCATCAATTTTGTTTTTTTTTTCAATTGAACTAAACTTTGAAAAATTGGTGCATATATTGCCATGGCAACTACATATAACTAGAACTGAAATTTCAAGCATATTTAACAACCCTATAAGGATTCTTTGAAGTATTAATATTAGAGGTTTTAAATTGATCGAGTTTATGAATGTGTTGATGAAAATACTTGTCTCAAAGTTTTGTTACTTTACATTTGAAACATTCCTATATTTCACCCAAAAATGTTTAAACTGTAATTGACCTCTGTACAAATAAATTTCAAAATGATAACATGTGTTTATTATTGTAAACTGAGATTCAGTTCTTTGATTAGATTCAATTCACTTAACAATATTTGTATGATTTGCCAAAAAACTAATCAGACCTACCCTTATTCTAGGTCATGCTCAAAAACTAACATTGTTTTAAGTTTCTAGGTGTAAAGTACATACAGATAATAACAAAATACCACAGATACAAAATGACAAAAATAGAATATTAGATTTTACCTCTCTATATCAATATTTTTATCCATGTTTATTCTTTTTCATATTTTATAAAACATAACTCTTTCATCTAAAATGTTGAAGCTGTGTTATTCAAAAAGACAAAAACATTTCTTCTCTGTTGAAAAGCTTGAAATATGTCGAATGATGTCGAAGTAATAGATTTATATCTAGCATGTTTAATGTTAGTAAAATTCAAATACACTATACATGTAGTCTATAAATGAAGTTTTTGCCTGATTTTTGTAGAAGAAATTCCCCATGTACCAGTACCATCAGAGACAGTGGTGCGAATGCGAATAGCAGGTCATCGTTGTCAGTGCGACCACATTCCTCTTCTAAGGTGGGAATTGCTCCTCTTCTACCTGCTCTATACATAAAAGCAAAATTGTGCTCTTATAAGCAATGTGAGGCAAAGTTAAATTTCTGCTTTGTTTAAAGGGATATAGCTCTTTTTCATTATAACATCTTACAGGACTAAATTCAGCCCCTTTCTAGGTACACGGTCAAAACCAATCAAAAGGAATTTGTAATGCCAGATTTTCTATAGGAAAATAAATAGATAAACAGCAGAAAGTGATGAAATTCGAATTAATTATGTTTTCACACTGAAAGTGACACATTTAACTGGACATATCAGCTGGCTTGTCAGATACTTAGAGGGCTAAATCCCTTTAATATTTACATAGTGCTTCTTAAATTTTCACTAACTCATCATCTTATGTACATCAATCTATTGTGATATCCTTTACACATCATGGGTATTGATTGGGTATCATGTATTGTGTTTGATTAAAATTTCTGCAATTGTCTTAGAAAATTACAAAAATTGAAATGGAATTATGTAGACTACATAGTCTTTGAAATAATTGAAATGGAATTACACATTCTCACATGTTATGATAAGAGTACAGTTTGCATTTGGTGTTTGCTTCGTGTATTTTTCAGTTTCTATGTTGTGCAATGTTATTTTGGTTACATAAAAGAACCTAATTATTGTACATATATTTCATAATGATGGCTTTATGTATCTATATGGTGACAGTTTGTTGAGCTTTTAATTTCTTTAAGAGTATTATATTGCACGTTATTTGAAAGGCTGGTAGTCAATCATACAGACCATTTTAATCTAATTGTTATTTTGATTCATTTTTTTTTTACACTTTTCACAAATTGAATCATTAAGTCTTAAAACAATTGTCTGTAATAATTACATGCATGGGGATTTGGCTTAAAAATGTATATTTATAGCTCAGTGAACAAAGTTAGACACTTAATTTCATCCAGTAGTAAGACAATGGAAAAACCAAAAAAAAAAAAATGATAAACAGAAAAAAAAACAACTTGAAGCCAGTCTTTTTTTTTTTAAATGGTAGATCTAAAATTGTTTCAGATTTGCATTGGGTTCATACAATATATCTGAAAGCAAATGCATTTTGTCAGATTTTGAATTCAAAGACAAAGAAAGCAAAATTCCATCTTTTTACACTACAGTGGAAACATAGCAAAAGTTGTTTGTCTAAAAACACAATGTTTGTTTTTAGTATTTATTTCTATGTGTGTAATTATTTTTAATTTTTCATGTTAATTTTTGTTCTTTTTGGTACGTTTTTTTCACCACAGAATTAAAATTTTTTGTAGCTTATGCACAATATATTGATATTATAGTATTACATCAAATATGATTTTCCCTATAGCATGGTACGGATCATCTTCATAACATTACCTTCTCAATTACCTTCTCAATTATCTAGGAGAAAAATAGATACATTATAACGTAATATATATAAGTATACATTGCTTACATTGATTACCTTTTTCTGCTTGATAGGAAGCTAATGAAGGTCAAGGTTTTGACTGTTAATAATTTGTATACAAACCAGACATCAAATTTTAATTCTCAAAGGTGATATTGGCAACTACAATTCAGATTCATCAACTGCAAATTTAAAACAATTATTTAATCAGCTGATAAAGCAATAAATTTGGCAATTACAAATAGTGAAAAAGATACAGACTGAGATTGAATTGAGAGAATATGAAATGATGATAGGTACTCCCTACTAATGATTCACCTTCAAATACAGTGATCTGCATGATGATAGACAGGCAATGATTAGTGTAGATGAGTTAGATATTCAGTATCCTATGTATTATTTATAGACTACAATGTATAGTGTTTTAATACTAGTTACATAAACAGTACACACATTCTGCTTTTAATAAGTACATAGATACAGGACATTCTCAGTTTTAAAAATCTCAATAATTGTATAAAATACTGCAATGTAGCAAAATGAGATAATGCTGAGAATGGCCTCTATTGCCTTTAAGAAGATTGTTAGAATAATATATGAAATAGCTTTTTATTTAAATTAATTTATATTTTTCTGCTACAGATTTATTTTGAGTCACTCCAAATGCTTATTATTACACCTTTCTTTCTTTCCTCCTGTTTCTTTATTTTGGTTTGATTTGTGAAAAATGTTGAATTGATAAAAAAAAATCTAATAACTATGCCATTGTCAAACATGACACATTTGAAAGTACAAGCTTGTCAGTTTTAATATATTGTGATCCCATATGCATCAAAGTAATTATTGAATATATCATTATTTACACAAATTATGATAAAACCCTTGACTAACCAGCCCTTAACAGCTGTTTTCTGTTTAAATGCCCAGCAGTGAAAAGCTTTACTGTATACATTTGCATTGGGTTCATACAATATATCTGAAAGCAAATGCATTTTGTCAGATTTCTACATAAAAAAAAGTAACATGAAGTTAACTTGTTAACTGTTCATATGGATGCTCAGAGTCTAAATCTAAGAATTAGTATGTTATGGGCAGACATATAATTTACTTCCATGTGTAATTTTCTTTTATTTCAGACGATCTTCCGTACCTGAAAGTTCCATTACATACGGTGATAAAGCTTACACCGGTAGCTTATGGTTGTAGAGTTGAATATGTTTCATTAAATATTGAAGCAGTGAATACACATAGAGAACGACCAAAGGTAGGAAACATTTTTTATAGTAAGTTTTCCCAAAAAATGCAAATGGATTTCGTTTTGTGTTCTGAGCTGCTGATCTTATAGATTTTTTTATGTGTATTGGTAACACAAATAGCTTTTTTTTTATCCCATTTTTCTGTGGTTCCTATAAATTGGCATGGTGCAATTTGAGGCTATCAGTGTTCCCGATACACATAGAAAATTGAGAAAACCTCTTTACATTCCCTTTAATAATCAGAAATGTCCTTTGTAGAATGAATTTATATAATAGAGTTTTAATCTGTCAAAACTAATAAAGATATTAATTGTCCCTAATCTAGGAAAATATCTTAGTTCATCAGCTAGTTTATGATTTATACAGTTTTATGGAACAACAATCACAAGTTAAAGTTTTTTTCTACATTTTGAAGTTTTCATAAAGCCTGAGGAGGATGGAAGAAACATGTTGAAAAATTGCATAAAAAATTATTTTTCCGTAAAGGCTGCAATTGCATGTTTACTCAAATGCAAACTGAATTAAAAATGGACCATACCATATCCCATCCAAATCCTTAGCAAATCCAAAAATCTGCTTATATGTGACCTAAAACTCAAACTCAACACCTCATTAAGTGCAACAGAGGGCTCAGTGAGTAATTTTTTGCATTTGCAGACGACTTTGCTGGCTAGGTGCCAAAATGAAGGAATCCTCTTTTAATGATGTCATAACTGTTAGAGATTTCCCCTCTCTGTCTTTATAATAATACCACTCGGTTTTATATTGACAATTTCGCAGACTAAGCACATAGACACAACATATCATGAAATCGAACTCATGGTGTTAAAAATCATATCAGATGATAAATAAAATAACATGATCACATGTTAAAGGAATACTACCCCTTAGAATGGACATAAAATTTAAAGTCTCCAACTTGGTCAACAAGTGTATTTATCAGTTGGACTTACCAGGTACCATGGTGTTTCAAAATTATTACTTATTTGACTGAATTAGATTATTACTTAGTTTATTGATAAGTCCACTGATGAAGACTCATTTTGATGAAGGTTAAATTTGTTGGTCATCCTAAGGTAGTATCCTTTTGAAATACAGTAGAATGTCACTCTATACTCAATAGGTAACTGTAAGATTTAATTTGGTACAAAGTCTTAAAGGGATGTAATACATGTGATATATGTCACATGGTTGACATGGGTTTCAATTTAGGGCTATTCCATAAAAATGTATGTTATTCATTGAGACCAAATTAACTTGCTGTTACTTCAACAGGCTATGTAAATTTGTTCTTTTATTAATATAAGACCAGAGACATTCTCATGGGTACCATGCCACTAATTAGATTTTACACTCATTTAGGAGTAAAAACACATCTAGATGCTAATGACTACTAGAAGGAATTATCCAGTCTTTTCATTTCTCATTTCGATAAGTAAAAGATACCACATTGCATCTTTACATACTCAATATTAACGGGTTTATTTTGGTATTTTGTAGACTGTTATACCTAGTGGTAGTAGTAATAAAATCAAAATGAAAGAACCTGCAACATGTTCACATTGAGATGATAACTGTCGTAATTAATGACTGGATATTCCTCAACTGATATACTATTTACTATCGTATAACAACTAATCAGTATCCCTAGGTGAATTTATACATATCAACCAACTGAACAATTAACATTCAACAATAATACAATGATATTTGGGTATTTATGATATACAGTGAAATCATTTTTTTTTTCGGAATCAGTTTACCATTTGAAATTCTGTCTTCAAACAAAATGTAAGAAAATGTAGTACCGGCACTGTGATTTTCTCTAACAGTATTAATTGATGTCTTTTAACAATAATTGTAAGTAGAAAAAAAACCTTTGGAAAAAATCCATGAATTAGATCTCACTAATGTGCATCTGTGAAAAAATTGGGTGATAAAGAAAATATTCTTGCTCTGTATTTGTATTTTGTTAATTTTTATCCATAGATTAATTGTGTATAAAACTGATTTAAGTCACAAAACATAAATCTGATGAAAATACAGCTCTTGATAGTTTGTAATATATTATTTTCTGTGTGTTTCAACACTAGTACTATGGTCATGTTGTATAAATAAAATATAGCAAACCAAATATCTAGAGGTGTATTTGAAGCACATAGTTTTGATCTTGCCTATTAACATTTCACACAGAAAAAAAAACAAATAATTTTATGTAGATGTAATTCTAATGATTATGTTGGTGTAAAAAATATGATTTTTGGAGGATTTTTAGATAATTTTTTTTATGTGAGTGATGAACATTTATAGCCTATTTTTGCATAAGTGAAATTTCTCATAGTGTGCCTGTTATGCCTGTAATTCCAAATCAGACTGAAATGATGTCTGTAAATTTTGTTGGAAGGAACACAAGTAAAGACTCATTGTGGTCTTACACCATATTAAACATGTCATTTTAATGGGGTATTTTTAAGAAAAAAAGGAAAATTAAAATATAAAGCTTTTATACAACCCAGTTAATTTTTTTACAATTAATGATTATAATTGTGATATTGATTCAAACAGTGCTATTAGTACTATTTATTAATATTATTTTTTAATATGTAAACTAGTGTTTTTATTTATCATTTTATTTAGTAGTAGTCAGGTTTTAAAGGGTATATTGCTCATAACTGTGTAATATATATAAACATATAGATATTATTCTAATTATATGTAATTTGGTATTATGTTATTACTGGACAGGGTATCCTATAAGCCCTGTGTTCTCAGGTTGGTAAAAAATTCATGTTGTTTTGGTCGACTGGCGTTTCACAACATCTCATCAGATCTGTGACTATTACTACAATCAACTGGATGTTTTCAAATTTCAAACAATTCCAGTCAAAGACTTGATTCCATTTTTGACAAAAAGTAGAACATCAGCAACTGACAATTACTTTGATGTTTCAGTTGCATGTGGACCAGATGATCAGAATCTGGTAGATTGCTATAAGTACTTAGTCAACCTGAAATCCTCAAGTGAATATGGAAATCAGTATAAATAACAATGTAAATCTGCGAGTTTGTGTTGAGTAGACTCAGGCTATAAGCACTGGCATTTTTACTATGGAAACAGGAAATGCTTCCGAGCACTTAAAACAACTTTTGAAAGTTCTCTTCTCTTCATAACAAAATTTTTACAACTGAAATTCTAACAACTGATAGAAAAGTTTTGATACAGGGTTGATCAGCTCTATATCTCATTGCTGGTTAGAAGCCAATATTTAATTCCATATGATCCATGTAATCAAAATAACAATTTAGTATTGATATGTATTATTTTATTATAATTTTTAAAAATACCAAAGAAGTGTTTTTTAGTGAATATTATACAAGATTATGAAATAAATAGTTTTATTAAGATATTCATAGTTAATCCTTAACTCTTACTGTCTTCACACTTTTGGTTGATTTTACAGATTATTGTGGGACTTTGCTTTCAGCAAAGAATAGATAATCGGCTCTAGAAGTCGTATTTTTCGGCCGATTTTCTTTGGGTTTGCATTTTTGGAATCTACTGTTAAAATCTGAAAGAATAGCAGTTTCAAAATTTCAAAATTCGAAAATTTGTCGCAGACATTTTTTTTGCCAAATTTTGCATTTTTTTCATTTTTTTTTGCTTTTTGTCTGATTAATCTGAAAAAAAACAGGAAAACGATGTTCACTTCCGGTTGAATATCTTCCGGTGTAATTTGTATAGGACAAAAATTTTTGTGCTGATAGGTAGACAAAGTTATGACAAAAAAACGAAGAAAAAAAAATCCGGAACAGACGTGAAACTTTGGCCGCCATTTTGATTTTTCTGAAACAATTCGATTTTTATTCAGACATAATGGCTCATCCGATTTAAATGATTTTGGTGTCAAATGAAAGAAGATAAAAAAAAAACATGACATTAGGAAGCCGTTTTTCGATTCTCAATTTTTTGCAACATCCGGTTGAATTTTTTCAAAGTTTGAAGGGTCATATCTCGTGATCGTGAACTTTGATGACCTTGACCTTCATAAGGTCAAAGGTCATTGACCTTGGCTATCAGTTAATACTTTGACATTTGACCTCCGACATGTACTTCCGGTTTTATAGCTGTCCGAAAACAGCCAAATTCGCAACTTTGGACTGCTCTAGCACGTGACCTATTTAACCTAGAGGGTTAATTTTTTCGGATTCTTAATGTGCTTTTCATGCTCTTTCAAATGATTTATAACAATCGTTTTTTAAAGCAAAATTGAAATTCGTGAATTTTTCAAATTTGGGGTTTTTTTTTTACAATATTTCTGTTTCTTTGAGCTTGGTGTGTATATATCTTATGACCTATTTTATGTAGAACATTGAAACTTGGAACACAACAAGACAATTTGAATATAAATTAACCTATGACAAAAAAGTTGAGGTGGGCGTGGCACATCCGGGTTGAATTACTAATTGTTTACATTTTGAGAAAGGGGCATAACTCGCATAGGATACATTTGTTCAAAAAGGAACTTTGCACACAATTACCTCATTATTTTGGCCAGTTTGTGTTAATAGGTCAATTGTTTCAGCTTTATAGTTCCAAAAAAGGAACGGGTTTTGAAATTTCCATATTTTCAATTTTCTATTTTGACCTTTATTGACTCTTGTTGACCTATATCTTTTAC